TCCCTGTGCTTCCTGTGTTACTCCAGCGTACCCGATAACCTCTCTGTTGGCTTTTCCCTCTTGCTCTTTCTTGTGTCCCTGTTTGTTGCGGTTCCTGATTGCTCCTGTGCGTTGGCCCCCTCCTTGCTTGTATGTTTGCACTCCCCTCTCTCTGTCCTCCGGTGCAACGCACATTCCCCTAGTGCTGTCCTTGTGCATGGCATCTGGTGCATCTGTGGCTGTGCTGCGCATGTCTCCCATTGCACAGCTTTCAGTATATTTATGTTTGAGTCTTCCTGTACGTTCCCCTGTGCATATCACCTAGAGTTCCGGTAGTTCTGTGTTACGGCCATTCCCCTGTGTGTACATGCTATATTTGAGCTCCTGTATTTGCACCATCTATGGAGTGCATCTTTCCTGTATAGCACGCTCCCTTTGTGCATTCTCAGTATTAATGTCATATCTCCTTTATGCTTCCAGTGTGTCCTGCTAGTGGATGGTAATCACCTCCTCTGTGAGCCCTTGCACCTGTGCTGTTCCTGCATATCTCTGGTCCCTGTGGGTACACCGGTTGTGTAGAAAACCTGTGGATATTTTGCTCTGCACTATTGTGCACCTCCCCCTTTCTCCTGTGCACCTGTTGTGTGTTGCCTTCTGTTAGCTGCTCCTGGTGTCATGCATGTTCCCTGCGTCTTCCTTCTAGTGCCTGTTTTTCTGTGCCCTGTATCCTGTATTCTCTCTGTGTCTAGTCCAGTGTGCTGTGGTCACCAGGTATCTGTTGGCACTGTGCCTGCAGGGGGGTGTCAGAGAGCTGCAACTTGAGAGCTGCCCCGCAGCTCAACATCCACACCATCAGGGGCTCTGGTGAAGACCAGGTGGCTCCTTAGATCCTGTGACTCTGGCACACCTGCGTTTGTTGTGCAGTCACACTTTCCCAGCATCCCCAGAGACCTGTATTTAGTCACAATATACTGCTCGGCAACACCCTGAGTTTACTATTCCTGGTTCTCCAGTGCACTAATCGTGACAGGTGTGACCAGGTGCTGACTGACAAGGTACAGGCTTTTGAATCAGCAGTGACCATGCTGTTAGCCTTCCTCCCAGCAACAGTTTTCATCCCACTGTAGTGCAAACAGGCACAGCCTACATGAAGTGCCAACCCTGATCTGTATTCAGGAGCAATGCAACATAATTTCCTTCCTGTCACAGGAAGCTGCATTAGGTGGACTTCACTGGCAGGCTCACCAGGTATATGTGGGACTTTATGGG